GGGCAGGGGAGTGCGTGAGTCAGCTCCCTCTGTGGGCAGGAGAAAGGCCTGCTGCCCTGGTATTGCTGTTCCCCTGCTCCTGGAACCATGGGAAAGGGTTTCCACGCAGGCCACCTCCTGCCAGGGATACTGCACAGGCCAGAGAAGCAGACATGCCCTCACTGGTCAGGGAGACCCTGCTGAGGTGGCAGAGCAGGCATTGGGGCTGGAGACAGAGCCCTGGGTCTGCGTTCAGGCCTGCCACTCAGTGCCTGCGTCTGGGTCAGCACCAGGCTGTTCTCAGGACTAAATGAGTCACATGGTCAAGAGCAGCCTGCAGGCTGTATAGGATTGTGATGGTCACTGCGAGGTGTCGGGTGATGTTCAGGGAACAAAAAGGTTGTTCCCTGATGGGTTCGGCAGGCTCCCAGGAGATAAGCAGGACTGCTTCCTGCAGTCATGGCAACAGCCCCCACTCCTTCCCGTGCTTGCTCTTTCCAGAAGCTTCTTTCAAGAGGTCTAGGGAAGGGCAGAGGCCCCTGTCTTTGCAGGACAAGTCCCAGGCTCAGGCATCTGCTGTGCTCCAGCAGCCTCACCACTGTGCCTGGTGCCATGTGAGCACTTGGTCCGCATCACCTCATTGCACACATCCTCACTGCCCAGGGAGGGGGCAGCACCCCTACCCCAGTTACAGACTAGGAAATGGGCTCAGGGACGAGAAATGACCTATCCAAGGTTAAAGAGCAAGGAAGGGCTGGAGATGGGATTTGAACTCGGGCCTCCGAGCTTTCATTGGCCAGGGTCTGCCTCCCCACTGGCTGCCATGACACCAATTTCTTCCTCACTCACTACCGGATTGATGAATGACATTCCCGTGTTGATGCCTATTGGCCACATCCCCAGCATGGAGAACAGCGCCTGGTACAGAGATGGTGTCTAACACCTTTTCTGAATGGATGAATGGATACATGAATGAATGCCTGGGCGGGCCTGTTCTCTACTGGCATGGAGCCAAGGGAAAGGTGCCCTATTCAGCAGCCCACCTGACAGGGAACAGGGCAGGGGCTTCACGAAGACGCCTCTGGCTTTTCTCCCTCTAGGGCTGGGCTTGACCACCACATTAGCCCATGGACAGCAACAGCCTCTTCCCTCACTGGCCTTCCCCAGGCTACAAATGCTTCTAAGGAAGGCTCTAGCCTGGTCCCAGCAGGATGCTCTGGAGCTGGCTGTGGGGACTGGGGTTCTTGATTCAACCATGGGGGTCACCAAAGGCACAAGGGGCTGCCTGTACCAATGGCAATACCTCGTTGTTGTTGGAGAATTTCTCACAGGCCGTGACACATAGCTCCATGGTCTCCACTCGCATCTCCTCTGGCATGTCCGAGTGCTAGAGACAGGGCAGGGGTGACAAACAGAAAGAGGCTTAGCCCATGGCCTGATCTCGGGGCTGGCCTCTCTGTCCCAAGCTTAAGGCACGGACACTGGGTAAATGCCCTGGCATCTCTTTACTCAGGGTACACAGCTGGGGACTAGGTGCACGGACTCAAGCTGAGCCATGTGGGTTCTGAGGCCCAAGCCCCTGAGCAAGGGCACAAAGTGTCATCAGTACCACATGCCAGCCAGGAGACCCGGGGAAGAAGGCAGGCCAGGCAGGAGAGAATGCGGCTCAGGAAACGGTTCACAAGCTGCCTCAAAGCACAGCTGATCTCACCCCGAAGCCTGAAGAGACAGCTCTCCATGGCTCCTGTTTTCTCTCGCCGCTCTGGTTGCTCTTCTCCGCTTGGCTGGAACCCCTTGCGGCCCCAGCGCTGGAGGGCCCTGGGCTCATCTCCACCCTTTCCCCTTCTTGGGCTAGTTGCTCTCTAGGCGATCCAGCCTGTTCTGTGGATTTATTTCTGTTATATATGGGGAGGTGTCCTACCATTTCATCCCCAGTTTTAATCTCTCTTTTGGGCTCTGGACTCCTACATCTTTACTCAGATGCTGAAAAGACAACTCCTGCTTTTCCCCATAAACCTCCTCCTCCCTCTCAGGAACTGAAACTATGTTGTTTAAGCCTTTCCTTCCTGTGGCCAGGCCTGTCTGCCTTGTTCACTACTATATCCACAGTGCCCAGAACAGTGCCCGGTATATAGCAGGTGGCCTAAATAAATAGTTGTTGAATGAATGAATGAATGAAAGAATGAATTACTGTTGACTTCTAGAACTCTACATCTGAGCCAGCAAAGCCCTTCTTAACGCCTCTCTCCAGGGCTGCGTGGGCCCTGCTGGCCGCCCTGCTTCCCTCCCCTGGGGCTTACCCTGACCAGAGGGAAGGTCTGCAGCCGTTTATAATCAGCCTCATCTTTCTTCCCTTCTGCTTCTCCCATGATCCTTCCACTGTGACCACTGGAAGGGAGAGTGGGCTCTCAGAAGGTGCTGGGACTGGCAATTAAAACACACCCAGGAGACTCAGGAAGCAGGCCCTGCCAGCTTGATGGGAGCAGAAAACGCCTTCACCCAAGGGGTGCTGTAGAAACAGGAAAAGCCAGGAGAAAAGAGCTGTCTCTAAAACCATACATCACAAATTAGAACTGTCTCAGTAACAATTTGACACCTCCCAGTCTTAACTCCTCCGCATCTTTTCCAAATGGCCAGCGAGTCTGCAGACGAGAGGATGAGTCAACAGGAGATGCTGGGACCTGGCTAAGAACACACTGGAGTGATGCCGCAACCACACTGTCATCAAGACAAACACCGACTTCGGGCCAGGCTGAGGACAGAGCCATGAGCTGGCAACGAACAAACAGAGCCTCACTGCGTGCCCACTATGTGCACGGTCCTATTTCTCAGCAGACGTGATTAAATAGTATCAGGTCATGATCCATAATCCTGGGCTTATGGGAAAGCGAGTGCCTCCTTCCGCAGTTCTGTGACCTGCAGAAGGCACGGGAATAGCGGTGCTCTGTCCTCTTGGCACGCCAGGCTCTCTAGCTCTTCCTGCCCACCCCCCGCAGGCCACCCTGTCCTGTCTGGCTGGTCCAGGGGTTGGAGGCCTGGGTGTTAGCGCTGCTTCCACTGCTCATCTCAGTATGGCTTTGGGCCTCAGACTCCTCAGTAAAATGAGGGCAGTCATATCTATCTCATGGGGCTGTTATGAGAACCAAATGAGACAATGTACGTAAGCAATGATCACAGGCCAGGCATGTGGTTGGCACGGAGCTGTTACGTTGCTGACCTGAGGTCCCCCACCAGTGAGCAGCAGAGCTGGGGTCTGAGTCTGGGCCGTCTCTGGTGTGGGCACCCCTGATCCTTCATCAGGCCTTCTCACAGCACTGACACACAGTAGGCGTCCACAAAACTGACCTGGAGTGCCTGACTACTAGCGTGGCTCAAGCGAGTCCAGCAGCAAGATAAACGTTTGATCTTCCCTTTCAGTTTGCTATTCTAATGCTAACTTGACCTTGTTTGGCCAAGCACTGAGCGTTCTGTGCTTTTCCTGGCTGTGCTCTCATTCCCTCCCACTCTCCGGTGCCTCAGGAGCCCTCAGCGCCATCCCATTTGGTCGCTCCCTCAACCGAGGCTGGAAGCCTGGCACCGATTCCACCATCCCACTGCACCGGCATTTTCTGATTTCTCAGCGGACAGATGGCTCTTCTTATCTCATCAATTCTGGGCACTTGTACCATTCAGATATTAGTAGGTTTTGTTTGGTTCTACATATAAATTGGCAAACCACCAAGGACAATCTCATTGTACTTTCTGCTCATGTTTCTTATTTCACAAAATCCAGTGAATCACTTTGTCTTCGCTCATTAACTTACGGCCCATCTCCAATTCCATCCTGTCCCTCTTGCTTTATTAGAGGCCACTTTATCGGGTCTTCCTCCAGTTACCAAGGGGTGACAGAAGGTGGTGGCTGCACTGATGATAAAAGGACAAGGGCTTTAAGGTTTGTTTACCTCTTGAGATTTTCAAATGGGAACTTAAAATTCTGAAGCAGCTGCTTATGCCTCTTCCACCTAAATATTTCTGTTTGATTCAATTCATCCTCAGGCTAAAAAAGTGCTAAAAAGCATGGAGGAGCCTGGAAGGGCATTCGGAGGCGATCATGAACATGCCAGCCAGCCCTCGGGGGGGGCAGGGTCTGCAACAGCTGCATGGACCCTTCTTTGGCATATGGGATCTTGATGAAACAAGACTTCAGAGGTATGTCAAAGCCCATGCTTCAGGAACAGGGGGAAAGCCATTAGGAGTTTCGGGGTAGGGGGCGTCACCTTGCAAGGTAGAGAAGGCACAGGACCAGGAGGTGGAGTATTTAGACTTGAATGCCAGCTATGTGACTGAAATGACTTCTTCCTCCTTGCTCTGCAGCCTTGGGCGAGTAGTTTAACCCCAGCCAGCTTTGCTCCTCAATGAAACAGGATAATCCCATCTCAGCTTCAGAAGCTGTTGCAAGCACCAAGGATATGCATGGAAGCATTTTGAAATTTTGAAGCTCTCTGAACTGCCTGGCTGGGGGTGGCTCAGCAGTTGAGCATCCACCTAGGACCCAGGAGATCATGGTTCGATTCCCAGTCAGGGCACATGCCCGGGTTGCGGGCTCAATCCCCAGTCTGTCATCATTGATGTTTTTATCTCTCTCTCCCCCTCTCCCTTCCTCTCTGAAATCAATAAAGATATATTAAAAACAAACAAACACTTTAAAGCTCTCTGAACTATGATCGTCACACTGCTCTTTCTACCGTCATATTAGCCAGGACTTTGTCCACATGATTTGACCACGTCTATTAAAGTCCGCTAAAGAGCGTGCAAATAGCTTTCATAAGCACTACAGGAGCTTCCGGAGTCCAAATGGGATGAAAAGGAATAGTATCAGATGGTGCTTCCCAGTACAGAAAGGTAGGAGAATCTTTGATGATGCTGTATCATTACAGTACAGCTACAGTCATTCAGACATGATTCAAAACCCTGCCAAAAGAATGCTACCAAAAATAGAACTTGAGGTTTTAATAACCTTATCAATCTTCCATGCAAATGAGTGTGTACCTGACAGCTCCAGGCCAAAAAGACTCACATTGGGCCTAAAAGAGAGCCCTTTAATAATGTAAGTGTGCCCATGGCCAGCGTACTGGAATCCGCTGGGTACCGAAGCTCGACCCGTCCCAGGGCCCATCCTGGCGCACAAGGCCAGAGGCAGCCTTGCTCTCCCTCCAGCCCTTTACACTCCTCTTCCCCCAAGGGCCCCTCCGTGTACTTGATCAAGACATTTTCTTTATGTGTAATATGATGTAATAAACAACACTGACTCATGTCTTATACAGATCTGGATGAAAACCCAAACATTCTGGTCAAGATACAGAGAACAACAAAAAGTCATAACTGTCGCAGCTATTCGCTCTGCACAAGAAGAGCTGCTTACTTACTGCAGACCGTGGATAATGCAGTCTCCCACCTCCCCTTCCCACTCAAGAGAACAGAAGTGAACATAGAGACTAAGAATGACATTATCACAAAAATAAACTGGAGTTAGCACATTTTTAAATATGTTGTTCTTAGATAGATGACGTATCAGATAATGAACTGGTAAGAACAGATACCTACGCTTGATCTTAGCCAAAAGGCCAAACCACTGACTTGTTTTTAAAAAGATCATTCACAGTTGCTCATTGCTGGTGACATCTCACAACCAGTCATGACTTGGCAGTGTGTCGGGAGTCAGACAATCACCAGGGCCTGAAGGACTTTCTCTATTCTGCTGTAGGTGCCCCAGAGCACTAAGTCCAGTGTCTGGCAAATGCCAAAAGACCAACAAATATCTACATTGTAATTAAATTATATTTCACTTGCCCCCCCAGGAAGGGAGAGGACATATCAAATTCATTCCGTAATATTTATTGAACACTGACCTTAGGAAAGGCAACAGAATGGGTGCTCTGCATACAGGAGCTCATTTACTCCCTGATAACTCTGTCAGACAGGCACTATCATCCCTACTGTCCTGACGACCACACAGACTGAAAAAAGGAAGGTGACATTCCTTCTGGCTAATAATGGAGGAGCTGGGATTCAATCAGGTATATATGACTTCAAGCTTATGCTTTTCCAATTACTCCACTACAAGCAAGAGCTAGTCCCTATTTTTAAACTTACAATCTGAGAGACCAACGCACGTACACAAGGAACTAACTGTGGTTCATGACAGAAAGCAGTAAGTGCCACAAGACAGATGCAGAGAGAGAGGAAAGGGGAGAATTCTAGAGGGGCAGGGAGAGGACAGTAAGAGTAGCTTGGGGGCCGGGGCAGCATTTGAGTCAGGCCCTGAAAGGTGAGTAGGAATCCCAGCAGGTGAGGAAGACCTTCCAGGCAGAAGAGAGGCACAAACAGGGTGATATCAATGCAGAAAGCTCCAAACATTTTCTGTGCAAGTCCAAGAGTCCAATGTGGCTGGAGGACAGAAGTTGTCAAAGGAGAAGGGAGACTGAAGGCTGGGAGAAAAGGCGGGGTTAGGATGTGAAAGTACAGAAGGGCCCTAAAACCTAGGCTTAAGAACTGTGGATATTTTTAGTGGGGAATGAGAAGCCCTTTGGAGGTCTCTTGGGGGTTGTTGACATGGTTGTGTTTTGGGGCAACTGTTCTAGTTAATATAACTGAGTTAACAGGAGGAGGGACCAGAAGTAGGGACACCAGTTAGGAAGCTACAGCAATGGCCCAGGTGACAGACATTAAAGACCTGAACCAGGGTGGTGGCTTCAGAAGTGAAGGGATATGAGATCCTTGCTGAGGCAGAACCAAAGCAACCTCATGATTGCCTGAGTGGGATGGGCATGGCAGAATGACGGGTGATGCCCCAACAGGATGGCGATACCCCTGAGAGACACAGGGGAAGTCAGGCATAACAGATAGAGAGGGAGAGAGCAGGCCAGTCTGATTTTAGAACTACTGAATTTAAGTTGCTGGCGACATGTGCAAATGGAGGTGCCTCATCAAGAGAAGGTAATCAGGGGCAGAAGGGAAGCCACTGAGTCCAACCATCACATCAATCAATGTCTCAATCTCTACCCCCATCCCCACCCCCAAGTATCCCTAACCATGGAAACCCAGGAGAAAGAACAGAGCCGGAGATCTGGATTTGAGGGTCAAATGGAGAAATGACAGCTCACACTAAGGGAGTCGGTGGCACTTCTGAGGGGAAAAATGTGGGGAAGAGACGAAGGACATAAAGTAACAAATACTGAATCTATACTGGACTGGACTCTTTCTTCCTCAGAATCCCAAAGGAGATGCTCTGTGGTACCCTGATTTTCTATGAGCCCAGGGAGATGAGGTAACTCCGGTCCTGCAACTGGGAACCCAAACCAGTTTGTCAGGTTCTTCTCACTACACCCGATTCCTCAATGGGAAGCACGTCCTCAGGGAAGCCTACAGTTGGGTCAAAGAATCACATCCTAGAAGGTCAGAGTCGAAGAGGCCTTAGAGATCATTCAGCCCAACTTCTCTTTCACAGGTGGGGAAACTGAGGCCCAAGGAGGGAAATGACCAGCACGTCGCCTACTGTCCAAGTCCAGCGGTCTAGGCCCAGGCTCTGGTGAGCATAGGCCCAGCCGCCAGAGGGGGGTAATAACTCCTCGGAAGGTGGGGAGTCAAGGTGCTGGGGGCGGGGTTCGGGTCCGGGAGTACGAAGGAGCGCAAAGCGCGACGGGGCCTCGACTGAGGAGCGGGGGGAGAGGCGGCTGCAGAATCACGACGGCGAACCTGTCACCACCGAGCTCGCAGGTCTCCTAAGTGGGAGGATGGGGGTTGGGAGGACCTGGGGCTGGGGACCAGCAGGGAGGAGACTGAGGTGGGGCCTCCGCGGTGGGCGAGGCCCCGCAAGCCCAGCGGTGCTTCCCGGCTCCCCTGCGAGCCGGCCCTCCCCACCCGGCTGCCCGCCGAGCCCCGGGGCCTCACCTGCTCCCGCGGGGGCTGGAGCCCGGGCCGCAGCTAGCTCACCCCCGCCAGGGTTGTCAAGGAGCAAAACAAGAGTGTCTTAGCAACAGCAAGGAAGTCCCACCCCTCACCGGACGTTGACAAAAACTTCACTTCTTATTGGTGATTAGAAATGTCCTTCAATGTCGAAGGGCCCTACAACGTAGAGGTTTGCACGGAAGGGGCGTGGCTTAGACGCCAGAGAGGCGGGGCTTAACTTATAGTTGTCTTAAGTGGGCCTGAAGAGCCAGGGGCACACAGAAGTTCTTATTTCAGAGAAACAAACTTTTACAAGCAGTATTGCCTTGGGGGTTTCTTTTAGCATTTGAGATAACGAATGCAATTTGTTTATGTCGTGACACTGAGCTGCTACTTTATTAGGATCTCAAAAAGCCCAGTAATAACCAGTATTTATGTCGGGCTTTACAAGGATCCCTCCCTGGTTCTCACCGCAGTTCCTTTGGACCGCAGTGTTTGTAACCCCACCTGAACTAAGCTCGAGAGAGGCTGAGTAACTTGTTAAAGGAAAGAATCGAGGCAAAGCTCCTTGAGAACCAACCCAGGTGCTATTCCCGCTGGAGCGCACCCTCATGGCCGCCTCGTCCCAGTCCAGGGGGGATACTGTGCCATCTAATTAAAGGCACGGCTGCCCAGAGCCTTTTTCCCTTTATGAGGGAAAATGAATCTGAAAGTATTAATATGACGATGGAAGGGACAAGAACCTGCGGATTATTGGATTGGTGGGTCAAAGTTTCAGTGGGGACTCCATAACTGAAACAGCGACTTTCTCCCGGCGGGTGCTTGGAGTGCGCTGGCACCTCCTGGGAACTCAGCCCTGGCCGGGTGCTGGTGACTCCGAGACAAATACGACGAGGACCTGTGTCCCAGAGAAGGCACAGTCCAGTGAGGGGACAGCTGTGTCAACGAAATGGATACAAAATAATTCAGGCTCCGGTAGGGAGGTGGGCGAGGCGCAGGTTCTCTGCAAGGAGGGAGTAGCTCCTCTCAGAGGAGGCGGTGCTTGAGCTGGCTGAGTCTCCATGACCCGGAGCCTAATGGGGGGGGGGGCACGGTTCTCTGGGGAACTTATTGGTGTGGAGGGTGAATGTGGTACCAGTGGGAGGTGATGGTGAAGAGGGTGGGGGTGAACGTGCAGGGTGAAGTAGGGACCACAAGAGTCAGACGGGTTTGAATGGCAGGTTCGGGCATTTGGGTGGCCCCCAGGGCGAGGCGAGAGCTGGGGAAAGTAGACGGTGGAGAGTTCCAAGGCCAGGAGTAACATGGTCAGATCTGGGCTGTGGAAAGATCACTTGGGTGGTGAAGACAGTGGGCTGGACTTGGAGTGGGTAGACGGGAGGCAGGCACAGTGGGTTTGGTTTTGAGGCTTGGCAGCTTGAGGCGTACTAGGCCCTTGCCCATTCCCACCTTGCCTCCCTGTTGCATTCTGAGGGTCCGGGGATGTCTGACTCAGCCTCCGTAGTTCCTGAAGTCTTTTTGCAAACTTTCTCCAGGAGATGGAAGGTGGCCTTTGAGGGGGCTGAAGCTCTTGCCTCCGCCTCTCATCCTAATTTCTCTAAAAGGGGTACACGTTTGCTGTCTTCTTTTTCTCACCTCCCATTCAGCCCACTGCAATCTGGCTTCCACTCCCACGATGCCACCAAAATTCTCTCTTCCATGGTTACCAGTGACTTCCCGAAGAGCAGAATCCGATAGACCCATTTAGTCGTCATCTTCCTGTACTCATCCTGTCTGCTGGCATGGCCTGTCTACCACACCCGTCTTAAAATTCTGTACCCGAGGTAGTGCTTTCAGAACTCTTTACAGTGCAGTCCAGGGTCCCATGGCATTAGAATGGTGAGGGGCAGGAATCTGTATTTTTTTACAAACCCTGTGCACACTCACAGTTGAGAATCACTGCTCTATCCTAACATTGGGAGCACCTCACTCTTCTGGATCTCCTTGAATCTCTTATTACTCCCTTTCTTGGGCTTTTCTTCCTCTGCATTCTGTGCCCATCTTGGCCCTCAGTGGTCTCAAATTTCTTCCTGCACTGTTTCCTTCTCATCAGTGAAAACTGCCCTTGGTCATACTTCCTGGGTACTTAACTGGAATTGAGGTTGCGTATGTACTTTGGAAAAGTCCCTCTGGTGGTTCCAAATACTTTCCCAGGGAGTTATGCCACCCTATCCATATCTTGTTGAGAACTGCTGCCCTAAGTACTGTCCCTTGGGGATCTCACCCACTTCATGGTTCCATTGTCAATGTCCTAGATTCTGATAGTTTCTGCATTTCTCTCTCCAGATCAGGCCTCTCACTGGAGCTCCAAACCTAAATAGCCAACTGCCCCCCGGTCACCTCCACCAGGATGTCCCATAAGCCTTTCAAACTATATGTCTCAAATGGAATCGATCGTCTCTCTAACCTGCCTCCCCTGCATTTCCTGCCTCGGTAAATGGCAGCACCACCCAGCCAGTTGCCTCCATCAGAGACCAGGGACTCTTGTCCTTCACACTTTCCCCACCATCACCCACCTCCAGGCAATCACCAGCCTGCCAGTTTTGACTTTGTCCTGATTACAGCCCCTTCTGGTGATGTTCATGGCACTCTGCATGTGCATAGACTGCGACCCCATCTGTATTCTTGCAATAACTTTCTAACAGGACTCCCAGGCTGCGGCCTGGCCCATCTTCTGTACCACAGACAATGTGATTCTTCTAAAACCCACATCTCACCACTGCCTTCCTCTCTCTAACAACTCCTTCCCTCCCTCCACAGTTCCCCATTGCCTCTAGGGGGACATCCGATGCTGACACCTGGCATTCAAGGACCGCATGGTGTGGCCTGTGGGCAGCTTTGTCTCCTTGCTGTGTCTTCCCCTATTCCTTATGCCAACTCTCATGACTCTCCACACACTCCATGCTGTTTTTCACCGCCTGCCTTTGTTCATGTATCTTCTCTGCCAGCAAATCCCTCTGCCCTTCCGTCCTTTCGGCTATATGAGCCCATGCACTTTTTAATTTTTTTTAACTTTTAAATTTATCTTTATTGTTGAGAGTATTACAGGTATACCATTCCCCCCCTCCCCCAATTGATCCCCTCCACTTC